GTTTCAAACGCCACTGACGGCGCCTTAAACGGATTTTCCTACACCAAGATATCAACCTTTTATTGAGACTGGTCAGGGCATCCGAAAATCTGAAATTTCCATTTTTCACTTGTGAAAATTCCTTTTTCTCTTTTAACACCAAAATGTTTTTATTCAAACCATCTTTATACTTCTTATAGAACTTCAAAACAATATTTTCCAGGCATTGACATCCATTATATGTCCAAGAAAATTTCCAAAATCCAAGTTGATATTTCAACTCAACTTTCGGCAGCCACAAGAAAGTTTCCAGCATTTGTATACCCACATGTTTGGTTAAATCATTCAAGATATCAAATATTTCCTTGCTAAACAAATTATACAATTTAAACTTACAACCCTATTATACTTCCAAACCATCATACTTCCAGGAAAATAAAATAAATTACCAAAAACCAATTAAACTCCAAAAACAAACTGAAATTGCTGGTTCAACCTGGCTAGCGGCCTCCAACATTTTCCAGCCACCAATACGCTTTATATCAAATTTTCCCTTGGTTTAAACATGGTGCTAGGTACTCAGTTTCAGCATATAAACACCTAGTTAGTTGCTAAAAATTCCACTTCAAAACCAGGTTCATATAACAAATAAATAATAACAAAAATCAGAAATCTCATCCAACCAGTCACGGTTGCATTAATGCATGAAGGGCATTCTGTTTTCATTTCATTTTCGGGTTTTAAACATGCCTTTAAACTCTCGATTTAGCTATCTAATATGATTATAAGCTTAAACCACAAAATTAACATCAAATAAACCAGATCAAAGAGGAAATATCATATCAAATTCTCGGCAGAACTTTTACTTCCAAAGCAGGTTTTTTTTCTAAGACCTTGATTTCAATAACCGGCTGCTTAAAATTACCTGCAACCTTTGATAAGACTTCCTCTAATAATACTTAACTTAATTAGCCCAGAAATTTTACCTCAGATACACTCCAAACCTACGCACAGAAATCTGGAATTTTCTTCTTTCCTCTCGGCTATCACGCACCCGGTTTGGTCCTGCGTTCACTTTGCAGCTGGAAATGGTGTTGTGATGAAGGTGGTTGCAGTTGGTGGATGTTAGTCTGTGGTTGACAAAGGTGGTGATGGTTCCCTGGTCTTTTCCCTCAGCTTACGGATTAGCAAGAAAAGAAACAAGAAGCTCGGTTCTCTCTCTCTCTCTCTTGCTCCCCTTTGTCGAAGAAACCCAAGCTGTAGTCCTCACTCTCTCTTGTTCTCGGACTAAGACAGAGGAAGAGCTGAGATGGTTTTGTGGAAAGAAAGTGTAGTGTCTGGAGTGAGGTTTTGCAGAGGAAATGGAATTGGTGAAGGTGGTGTCTCGGTATTAGATAGGAGGAATGGTTTTGTGTTATAAGAAAGGTTTGGTAGTATGAAGGTATTGTGGGGCCGTGTGAACTGAAGAGACTGTATCGTGGTTTACTTGTGCAGAGAATGAATTGACGTTGAGGCTTGTGTTTGTGAATTGGAATTGTGGTTTGAGATGTGAAATAAAGCAAATGGTTTACGGTAGTGATATGAAAAAGGATTGAATGTTATTAGATAGTATAGTGGTGCCGTGGTTTTAATGATGTGAAATAAAGAGACTGGTATTGTGTGCCGTGGTCTTGAGAGAAAGGATTGCGTGTGTAAGAATAGGTAGCGTATCGCATTAGATAAAACGTGATTGGCCAGAAGCTGCGGTGATTAAATTTGGTTGTCAGAGATTTCGTTTGGTTTGCATTGAAAGGTAAGGTAAGGGTAATTTAGTCTTTTCATTTTATTCCCTAACCTCGACTTAATTTCGCAAATCCGACTTAATTCTAAAAATTATTCCCAAGTGTGATTCAAACGCCTAATTATACTCTAACATACCTAAACCATTTTTATCGGATAATTATCGATTAAACTTGAATATTAAGGTTCCTAGTAATTCTTATATTATTTAGCGATTAAATTAGTCATTAAAATTTCCAATTATTATTTCTCAAGTAATAGAGTTAGTCTAACTCGAAATTTATCGATTTAGTAAAATAAGGTCAAGTGAAACAATAATTGCATCCACGGGTATCAATTTGCACACAAAATTATTTTTACACACTTATTTAAAAACAAAGAAAGATAAGAATATATTTATCGAAATTTTCACACCTAAAGCATGTTAAACATATTAGAATCATATTTATCTAAATTCATTGATTTCTATCTTAACACGGAAATTCTTATTAACATTTAACATTAGCATCTAATTAAAATTAATCATAGGAATTAAACAATTTATTTTAAGATCATAATTCTAATTACTCAAGTATCAATACTTTAGGATTAAAGACTTAAGTATTCCTACATTTAATATTAGGGCAAAAATAAATCTCACCCTAAAGATATTAATTTAGTCTATTAAGACCAAGAAATATCATAAACTAGAAAATTATATTATTTTTCACGTAAACCTAATTTTTACATACTTAATTGCAAACAAGTAAAAGTAATGCTCGAAATTATTAAGAAATAAAAGAAATGCAAATAAAATATGCACTAGTTTATATATCCATTTTTCACGGTTCTCACATCCTCCCCTCCTTACAAGAATTTTGTCCTCAAAATTCACACTTTCCTAAGAAAATAAAACAGGGTACTTTTTCTGCATTTCTTCCTCCAATTCCCAAGTTGCTTCCTCAAGTCCATGATTTCTCCATAGAACCTTCACCAGAGGAATTTTCTTATTCCTCAGTTCCTTTATTTCACTTTCCAAAATCTTGACTGGTCCTTCTTCATACGTTAAGGTCTCATCCACTTCAATTCCCTCCAATGGCAGCACATGACTTGGGTCTGAATAATATTTCTTAAGCATGGAAACGTGAAATACATCGTGAACCTTAGCCATGCTTGCAGGTAACTTCAGCTGATATGCTACTTTCCCAACTCGCTTCAAAATTTCGAAAGGTCCGATATACCTTGGCTTTAGCTTCTTACTTTTTTTAGGTACTACTCCGCTCTTCAAGGGTTTAATTCTTAGGAAGACCTTGTCTCCTACTTCGAATTCCAAATCTTTCCTCCTTGTGTCGGCGTAGCTTTTCTGTCTACTCTGAGCGGCTTGAAGCTTTTCCCTAATAAGTTTCACTTTCTCCTGGGCCTCTTCTATCCAAGGTATCGCTGTTGGATCTACAATCTTCTTCTCTCCTATTTCATCCCAATGAATCGGAGATCGACACCTTCTCCCATACAAAGGTTCATAAGGTGCCATTTGAATGGAGGCCTGATAACTGTTGTTATAAGCAAATTCTACTAAGGTCATATAATTACTCCATTTACCTCCAAAATCCAATATACACGACCTCAGCAAATCCTCCAAAGTTTGAATTGTTCTTTCCGATTGCCCATCGGTTTGGGGATGATATGCAGTACTAAATTTCAACTTAGTCCCCAAAGACTCCTGAAATTTTTGCCAAAAACGTGAGACAAACCTTGGGTCTTGGTCAGACACGATACTTACAGGAATACCATGTAATCTTAGGATCTCTTCTGTGTACAACTTGACCAGTTTTTCCAAAGAAAAGCTCATGCTTACAGGCAGGAAATGTGCAGACTTAGTGAGTCGGTCAACTATTACCCAAATTGCATCGAATCCTTTTTGACTTCTAGGTAGTCCCGTTACAAAATCCATTGTGATATGTTCCCATTTCCATTCAGGGATTTCTAACGGTTGCAATAAACCAGAGGGCTTCTGATGCTCAGCTTTTACTTGTTGGCAGATCAAACATCTTTGAACAAATTCCGCCACATTTTTTTTTAAACCGTCCCACCAGTACAATCCCTTCACATCATGATACATCTTGGTCACACCTGGATGTATAGTATATCTCGATCGATGTGATTCTTCTAAAATTTCTTTTCTTATCTCTTCATTTGCCGGAACCACAATTCGATCTCGAAACCTCAATACACCTTCAGACCCTAATTTAAAATCTAGGGTTTCCCCTTTTTGCATTTTCTCCAAATTCTTTTGAATCACAGGGTCCGTTTTCTGGGCCTCCTTGATACGCTCTAATAATGGTGATTTTAACGATAAGTTCCCAAATAAAACCTTCAATTTCTCCAAGCGAGGGTTCCAACTGCTTATTTCTTCTAGCATGTCCCACTCTTTAACCATTAACCCTGCTACTTGGGCCTTTCTACTTAGAGCGTCAGCTACCACATTAGCTTTTCCTGGGTGGTAATTAATAGAACAGTCATAATCTTCCAAAAATTCTACCCATCGCCTTTGTCTCAAATTTAATTCCTTCTGGGAAAACAAGTACTTAAGGCTCTTATGGTCCGTATAAACCTCAAAAGTCACGCCATACAAGTAGTGTCTCCATTTCTTCAAGGCGAAAATCACTGCTGCTAACTCTAAGTCATGAGTTGGGTAGTTTTGTTCGTGGGGCTTCAGTCTCCTGGAAGCATAAGCAATCACTTTACCATTTTGCATTAAAACACATCCTAGACCTTCTCCGGAAGCATCGGAGTACACGGCATAACCTTCACCTCCATCAGGTAACACCAAAACAGGAGCGGATGTCAATCGCTTCTTTAACTCCTGAAAACTTGACTCGCACTTAGGAGTCCAAATGAACCTATTCCCTTTCTTGGTTAACTCAGTCATGGGTCCAGCAATCTTTGAAAAATCCTTGATAAATCGCCTATAATAGCCTGCTAATCCCAAGAAACTTCTAATTTCAGTTGGAGTTTCTGGCTGCTTCCAATTCATAACGGCCTCAACTTTTGCCGGATCCACGGCAATTCCATCTTTGGAAATCTTGTGCCCTAGAAAAGATATTTCATCCAACCAAAACTCGCACTTGCTAAATTTGGCATACAATTTATGTTCTCTTAATATCTGCAAAACTGTCTCCAAGTGTTTAACATGTTCCTCTCGAGTCTTAGAGTATATCAAGATATCATCGATGAAAACCATTACAAACTGATCCAGATACTTCTTAAAGACTCTTTGCATTAAATCCATGAATGCCGCTGGTGCATTAATTAGACCAAAAGGCATGACTGCGAATTCAAAATGTCCATACCTCGTACTAAAAGCAGTCTTGGGTATGTCCTCCTTTTTAATCTTCAATTGGTAATACCCTTGCCTCAAGTCCAGCTTAGAGAAAACTACTGATCCTTGCAGTTGGTCGAACAAACTATCTATCAACGGCAGAGGGTATTTATTCTTAATGGTAATCTCATTTAACCCTCGATAATCAATACATAACCTCAAGCTTCCGTCCTTTTTCTTAACAAACAGAACGGGTGCTCCCCATGGTGAATCACTCTCCTTTACAAAACCCTTCTCCAAGAGGTCTTGCAATTGAATTTTCAACTCCTTCAGCTCGGCAGGAGCCATTCGGTACGGAGTTTTTGAAATTGGAGCCGATCCAGGCACTAAGTCAATCCTAAACTCCACTTCTCTTTCCGGCGGTAGAGTCTTTAGCTCCTCAGGAAAAACATCAGGAAATTCTTGTACCACTGGTACATCTTCCAACTTTGCTTGATCACTAGGAGCATTAATCATGAAAGCTAAGAAACCTTGAGCTCCTTTTGACAACATTTTCCTTGCCCGTATCCCTGAAATCATAGCAGATGAGGCTAACCTACCCTTAACATCTAACCTCAGAGTTGCTTCTCCAGGTATACAAAATTCCACCACTTTTGCTCGGCAATCAAGCTTAGCATGATACTGGGCTAGGAAATCCATTCCTATGATAACATCGTACCCTTTTATGTCCAAACTGATTAGATCCACTAGCGTTTTACGCTCTCCAATCCAGAATTCACAATTCTTATAAGCTAAGCTAGCGATTATCCTCTTATTACCCATTGGTGTCTTAACTTCAAGATCGAAGGGTAACCTAACAGGTCTCACATCTATTCCAGACATAAATGATGGATTTACGAATGAATGAGTTGCACCAGGGTCAATTAACACTTTAGCTAGTCGATGAAAAATGGGAAGAGTACCTTCCACGACTTCCGAGGAATCAGGTACAGGTTGGTCATCTATAGCATACACCCTGGCAGGAACTGTTGGCCGGCTCCCTCCAGAAGTGTTTGGCCTAGCATTTGGATTACCCCACTCCTGAATTTTTGGACATCCAGCAATTTGGTGCTCGCCACTTCCGCATTTCAGGCACTTCCCTTGCTTCTTCCAGCAACCATCTATAGTATGGCCAGGTTTCTTACAAAATACACAATTCATTTGGGGAACTATTGCTCGACCTCCTTGCGAGATATTCCTAGGTTGTCCCCTTCCAATCGGTCCCATTCGGGTTCCATTATTCCGTCCCCCTGCATTCCTGGCCCCGTTTCCTCTTGCTTGGGCTCCTCGTGGTGCTCCAGGGTTATTCGCCCCAAAGGTCCCTCGGCCCATTTTGGCCGGTGGAGTATTTCCATAAGTCGGCTCCCGACTACTGCTAGGAGCAAATCTTTTCTTAGCCTGAAAAGATTTCACTTGAGCCCGAGCTACTTCAACTCTCTGGGCTTTTTCGACAGCATCTGCAAAGGTATCAATCCTTACAGCAGCTAAACCTTCCTGTATTTCTACATTCAGACCTTGCACAAACCTTCTAACTCGCCTTTGTTCCGTGGTTACCAATTCAGGAGCAAAACGGGATAGTTTTGTGAACTGGACTTCATATTCGGCGACACTCATCGCCCCTTGTTTACATTTTATGAAGTCATCCTCCCTCTTTTCTTGGATAAGAGGTGGAAGAAATTTGGCATTGAACTCCCTTGTGAAGTTTGCCCAAGTCCTTGGAGTATGATTTCTGTCCCAATTAGTCCTTACCAGATTCCACCAGGAGCGAGCAGCTCCCTCGAACTGGAATGCGGCAAAAGTTACCTGCCGCTCTTCCGTGTAGTTTAAAGCTGCGAAGATGTCGGAGATTCTCTCCCACCATCCCTCAGCTATATCAGGTTCGGGTCCTCCATAGAACTTAGGAGGTCCAAATTTCAAAAACCTCTCCAGCGCCCGATCCTCAGAATCGGTTGGGCCTCCTTGGCGGTGCACTGGCCCAGAGGCTTGATGTTCAGTCAAGCGCTCCAAGACATCAGTAATACGGTTAATTGCGGTGGCCACTTGATCTCCGGCCACTCCCTCTTGCCCTTGGTTTTGGTTGACCTCGGGTTCCCTATCACCACCCGCTTCCGGGTGTTGTCTACGGGGTCTCCCACGGCCTCTTCCTACTATTTGGCGATCCATTGCCTAATTATGCCTATTACGGAAGGGTAAGATAATTAGGCAAAAATTTTATTTATTACTAATCATTATTATCCGTTAGGTGATTAAAATCAACATGGTAATGGAGGAAAAAGGAAATGAAACACTTAACATATATTTCCGTGGAATCAGTCATACAATCAGCAAGTTGGAACATTTCCAAAGGTGAGGCACATAAGTTAGAGAAAATACATACAAATAATCCCTTAAGCACAAAATTAGGGATATGGTGCCTCGGAAGCAAGTCATTCACCTAGACAAAACTTGATGACTTGACTAATGTCCCTTTTCTAATCCTATATATCCGATACTGTCAAGTCAACCTAATCTAACCCTCAGCAGGGCTATCAGGAGCGACATCCTCAGCCGGATCCTCCTCCGAGTCCTCCTCCGGATCCTCCTCCGGGTCCTCCTCGGCACCTGCCGGCTCATCCTCCTGAAGGTAACTAGTGGCCTCATCCATAAGCATAGAAGCATCAGCCCTGATGCCAGCACTCCTATCTGTGTTCCCCTCAGCAAGTCGGGTCACTCTGGACCTCTGTCGCTCTATCTCCAATCGAGCAATCTCCAGCATATTATGCTCAGCAGTTAGCCTAATCTCCAAGTCGGCTATGCGATCGAACTGAGTATCCACCATAATACTCAGCTCCTCCACATCCTGGGTCAAGGTGTGGTTAGCGTCCCACAAGTGGCGGCGCTCATCATCTAGGGATAACACCAAGTCGTTGGGGTAGGCATATGTGACTCTGCACTGGCATCTAGGTTGCCTATCAGCAGGCGAGTATCGAACTCGACCTCCTCCACCTCGAGGCCTATAGGAAATGGATCTCAGCGGCTCTACATGTCCATTAGCCGCGCCATTACCATTAACGTGTCCATTACCATTCTCCATACCTGCAAAATAATCAATACTTAAAGGTTAGAACTTAAATAGCTAACTGGATCATACATTACTTAAGGTATTTCTAATGATCTCAAAACTTATTCCTAGAGAGGATTAGGGTTTCTAACACAACTAATATGTCTTTCAAATAACTTCTCTAACCCTGGCTCTGATACCACCTGTGACGACCCCACTTCCCCCTGAGGCGAACCAAAGGGTTGGCGGGCCGTCTGCCCAGCTCTCGCCAGGACTCACGCGAGCAATCTAACCCGAATCCTTTCGAAGAATAAACTAATCTATTACAAAACGGTTTTTTTTCCCCGAATAGAATCATACCTAAAGCCACATTAACTTTAAAGATAGCTATGATAAAAATAACTAGTCGAGGGCTTTAAACGACCTACGTGCTAAAATCGAAGTATAAGTCGTACCCATCAAAACAGATAAATACATAAATCCATAATACAACTTACAAGCCAAGTAGTCAAATTAGGGTTTACACATTTTCCAGCTTCAAGTGGCAATCCAAGAAGGAAAATACACTATCCCAAATAACACATTACAGCCCACAGAATAAGTTATAGAATTCAGATACAGTCCAAAAGAAAAACTTAAGTAGCATCCAACTCTCAGTTTCCAGAACCTGTTAAGGAAAACAATAAACGTGGGGTGAGCTAAAGCTCAGTGGTGCCCCAAAACATGCAATCACATAATTTCAAACAGCGATTAATAACTGCATAAATTTAAACAGTTAGAAAAGCGTATAACAGCACAAGGTAGGATACGTGGGCTCTCAGGAGCCATTTTTCCTCGCTTGATCACCAATTATCGTAGTTGACCCTCCGTCAACTCTCACTACTTATGGTCCATGTAGATCCACTTATTTTAATCCTAACCCGTCACCGTTCATACTTCTGCTTCGGGCCCGACTTCGTCTACCGACGCAGTATACTCGAGATATACCCGTATAAAATTTAGTCGAGGGATTCATCCAATGACGTGATTGCAATCAGATACACGCGTCGAGGAATTCACCAAACAACGTGATTGCAATCAGATACACGCGTCGAGGGATTCACCCAAATGACTTTTGTAGTTAGATTCACGCGTCGAGGGATTCACCCAACGACGTAACTACATTTAGATTCATGGTAGTTGGATACAAGAGTCGAGGGATTCACCCAACGACGCAACTCCATTTTTGAATCAAAGATTTAGGAGAAACTATTTTGCACCAGTCACCACTCGAACGGCTAGTGTGATAAAGTACACAGCTCACTTCGATGGATCAGAAACCAAATTTTTTTTTTCAACTTATCACATAACAAGTCAAGGAAGCACTTTAAACGATTAGGCATAGAACAAGCAGGGACACTCACCAAGAGTGGAGTTCAGATATCAAGTTGGGGATCGAAATCCGCGTCCTCGAAAAACCCTAAAAACCAGAATTTGAAACTATAAGTTTCTACTTAGTTTTTAAGCTTAAAGTCATTAAGGTATATTTAATATAGTACCAGTTCACTTTAAAAATTCACAGACAGCAGTACACATGGAGGAAAAATACAAAATTTCTACAGGACAAAGGCCTATGGTTCTAGTTTCAAACGCCACTGACGGCGCCTTAAACGGATTTTCCTACACCAAGATATCAACCTTTTATTGAGACTGGTCAGGGCATCCGAAAATCTGAAATTTCCATTTTTCACTTGTGAAAATTCCTTTTTCTCTTTTAACACCAAAATGTTTTTATTCAAACCATCTTTATACTTCTTATAGAACTTCAAAACAATATTTTCCAGGCATTGACATCCATTATATGTCCAAGAAAATTTCCAAAATCCAAGTTGATATTTCAACTCAACTTTCGGCAGCCACAAGAAAGTTTCCAGCATTTGTATACCCACATGTTTGGTTAAATCATTCAAGATATCAAATATTTCCTTGCTAAACAAATTATACAATTTAAACTTACAACCCTATTGTACTTCCAAACCATCATACTTCCAGGAAAATAAAATAAATTACCAAAAACCAATTAAACTCCAAAAACAAACTGAAATTGCTGGTTCAACCTGGCTAGCGGCCTCCAACATTTTCCAGCCACCAATACGCTTTATATCAAATTTTCCCTTGGTTTAAACATGGTGCTAGGTACTCAGTTTCAGCATATAAACACCTAGTTAGTTGCTAAAAATTCCACTTCAAAACCAGGTTCATATAACAAATAAATAATAACAAAAATCAGAAATCTCATCCAACCAGTCACGGTTGCATTAATGCATGAAGGGCATTCTGTTTTCATTTCATTTTCGGGTTTTAAACATGCCTTTAAACTCTCGATTTAGCTATCTAATATGATTATAAGCTTAAACCACAAAATTAACATCAAATAAACCAGATCAAAGAGGAAATATCATATCAAATTCTCGGCAGAACTTTTACTTCCAAAGCAGGATTTTTTTCTAAGACCTTGATTTCAATAACCGGCTGCTTAAAATTACCTGCAACCTTTGATAAGACTTCCTCTAATAATACTTAACTTAATTAGCCCAGAAATTTTACCTCAGATACACTCTAAACCTACGCACAGAAATCTGGAATTTTCTTCTTTCCTCTCGGCTATCACGCACCCGGTTTGGTCCTGCGTTCACTTTGCAGCTGGAAATGGTGTTGTGATGAAGGTGGTTGCAGTTGGTGGATGTTAGTCTGTGGTTGACAAAGGTGGTGATGGTTCCCTGGTCTTTTCCCTCAGCTTACGGATTAGCAAGAAAAGAAACAAGAAGCTCGGTTCTCTCTCTCTCTCTCTTGCTCCCCTTTGTCGAAGAAACCCAAGCTGTAGTCCTCACTCTCTCTTGTTCTCGGACTAAGACAGAGGAAGAGCTGAGATGGTTTTGTGGAAAGAAAGTGTAGTGTCTGGAGTGAGGTTTTGCAGAGGAAATGGAATTGGTGAAGGTGGTGTCTCGGTATTAGATAGGAGGAATGGTTTTGTGTTATAAGAAAGGTTTGGTAGTATGAAGGTATTGTGGGGCCGTGTGAACTGAAGAGACTGTATCGTGGTTTACTTGTGCAGAGAATGAATTGACGTTGAGGCTTGTGTTTGTGAATTGGAATTGTGGTTTGAGATGTGAAATAAAGCAAATGGTTTACGGTAGTGATATGAAAAAGGATTGAATGTTATTAGATAGTATAGTGGTGCCGTGGTTTTAATGATGTGAAATAAAGAGACTGGTATTGTGTGCCGTGGTCTTGAGAGAAAGGATTGCGTGTGTAAGAATAGGTAGCGTATCGCATTAGATAAAACGTGATTGGCCAGAAGCTGCGGTGATTAAATTTGGTTGTCAGAGATTTCGTTTGGTTTGCATTGAAAGGTAAGGTAAGGGTAATTTAGTCTTTTCACTTTATTCCCTAAGCTCGACTTAATTTCGCAAATCCGACTTAATTCTAAAAATTATTCCCAAGTGTGATTCAAACGCCTAATTATACTCTAACATACTTAAACCATTTTTATCGGATAATTATCGATTAAACTTGAATATTAAGGTTCCTAGTAATTCTTATATTATTTAGCGATTAAATTAGTCATTAAAATTTCCAATTATTATTTCTCAAGTAATAGAGTTAGTCTAACTCGAAATTTATCGATTTAGTAAAATAAGGTCAAGTGAAACAATAATTGCATCCACGGGTATCAATTTGCACACAAAATTATTTTTACACACTTATTTAAAAACAAAGAAAGATAAGAATATATTTATCGAAATTTTCACACCTAAAGCATGTTTAACATATTAGAATCATATTTATCTAAATTCATTGATTTCTATCTTAACACGGAAATTCTTATTAACATTTAACATTAGCATCTAATTAAAATTAATCATAGGAATTAAACAATTTATTTTAAGATCATAATTCTAATTACTCAAGTATCAATACTTTAGGATTAAAGACTTAAGTATTCCTACATTTAATATTAGGGCAAAAATAAATCTCACCCTAAAGATATTAATTTAGTCTATTAAGACCAAGAAATATCATAAACTAGAAAATTATATTATTTTTCACGTAAACCTAATTTTTACATACTTAATTGCAAACA